TGAAGTCAAGCTCTCCTCTTGGGGAGGAAAAAAAAGGGATTTCAGAGGTTAGATTCTGGCAAAGCACAGCTTGCACTAAGTGTTTTTTTTGAACCGGGTTTCCAAGTGAGCAGAAAAGTTCTAATGAAAGTGTCACACAGAGTCCCTACACCTTCCCCATAAAGGTGCTGAAAACAGCTTCAACCCTTAGGCTTAAATAGCCAACATCAAAGAAAAATGAGAGTCATACCTGGGGCTCCTGGCAAGTAGACAGGGTTCCTGACAATTTAATTTTGTCCAGTACTTGCTGATATTGAGTCGCAGGTGAGCGAAGAGAAGACAACAACAGCTCATCATTTTGCTTTTGTACTTTTTTACTCAATTCCAGTATTTCTTTACAAACAGCTGGAAAATTTCACTCCCACTGGCAGAGTAGAGATCAGACTCTGAGAAATGCAATGGTAAACATGCAGAAGAGCCAATTTGCTTGCCCGTAAACCCCCCCAGGGTTATGCAGTAGAATATGGACAAGGGTTGTGCCGCAGCAATGTGGCTGCAGGCATTAGGTTTGCATTACAAAATGCAAGCAAGAAAATGCCTGCTCTGCAGAGTCCGAGATCTTCCCTTCAGACAAAATACCCTGAAAAGAGATTTGGGAAAGAAAAGTACCTAAAAATGAACACTGGGTTCCATAGCAGGTGCCTGCTACACTGAGCATCCTCCCCCGAGCCCCATGCCTGAGAGTCCCGACAGGCCTCAGAGCAAGTCACAGGCTGGTCCCCCTCCTCTTGCTTTGTCCCAAGGGAAGATTTTCAAGACAAGACGAACATCATCAGGAAACTGAGAAGCAGAGCAGGCAGGATGTGGAAGACCATGGCCATGGCGCCCAGGGGAGCTGATGATGGTGCTGGAGGAAAAAGAGAGGGTATCAGTGCAAAGAATCCTACAATTGAATCATTCCCCCCACTGTGGGAGACCATCCCTCTTACCCCAAATGCAGGGAAGATCTTTGGCTTCCTGACCACAAAACAGCTTAATTCATAATAGGATCTTGAGTGGCGTCGAGTGCCACTCAAGGGGTCCCCAGTGCCACTGTCTCTCTTTTCACTGAAGAAGGACTGGCCAGCAGGACTCTCTGGGACTGTGTCATAAGCACAGACAAGGGCAGGACCAGAGCTGGCTGGCAGCACTGCTCAATGCGACTGCCTGCTTGACACAACTGCGACTGTTTCTGGTCTCCAGGCAGCTACATCGGCCTGCTGCATACACTTCCCTTATACACATGACTAAAAAACACCTCACTCCCCGAAAGGCAGTTTTTCTCCTTGCTGTAACCCCAAAATCAATATTTAAGGCAAGCAATCAGAAGTTGTCATGTACTACGTACGCTGAAACTTGGGTGTAACAAAATTGATGTAACCGTCTGGTAATCCCCCGGAGAGCCCAATATGCAGTTTATCCAGCTCGCACTGCTTCTGCCTTTGAATCCATTCCCTGACAGGTGACTCGTTCTGCAGGGCCTTCAGTTGGCTGAGATTCACTCCCAGCAAGTCCTTTACTTCAGTAGGTGTCAGGTCCTACAAATAAATAAATAAATAAATAAACAAATAAATAAATAAAAGCAAGACTTTTCTCAAAGCTTGTTTCTGTTTTCCTCTAATGACAAGGCCATGCTAGAGGACATTGGGTTAAAGCTAGAATCATGCTGCCCCTACTCATACAACCACACCTGCTGCTGTGGCTTTCTCCTTTCCCAAGGGACTGCACTGCCCACATTCAGCTCAGGGCAGGGGCCCCAGTTCCCACCCAGATCATGGGACTTTCTTCCCAAGTAGACAGAATTCCAGCTGCGACACATCCCTGACTGCCAACGCTCCTGGCACTAAGCTGGGAGACTTGGTATGAAGCTTTGGCCTGGAGCAAGGTGAAGGGTTATCACGTTGCCCAGTGAAATCCTGCTTTCTGGCACTACCTCTATGAGAGCCTGGACTTGGGAAATACCCCACTAAGGCTGCGGAACCATCGATGTATGACTCCAAGCCACTCCTGAAGAACCTCCAAGATGGTCCTCCTATTTTAAAGTGTTGCTACATCATGCTGAATTTGATGGATTCCTAATTTACACCAATGGGCAATGCGACCAGAAATAACCAGCTAGCATGAGACAAATGCATGGAATGAAACACTCACCAGCAAAGAGTCTTTTCTTAACTTTGTGAAAGTTTCAATGTCCATGTTCACTCTGTCCTTGCTTAGAGCTTTGAGATCTATACCAGGAGCACCCCCTAGGATCAGAAAGAGAAAGTACATCAAGGCATGGAGAAGAGTCCTCAAGTGGGGACAATGTGTATTTGTACAGGCTGGAGCTAGAGTGTGCTTTCGTGATGTCTCCAAAGTTTATTAGCCCAGGGCTCCTCATAAAGTGCGTCTTAACTAGAAAAAATAAGAGAGGCTAATTCATTTTGCTGGGAAACCTTATCATGTTGGCCACTAAACCAACCTTCATCAATGTCAAGACACTAGAAAGAACATATTCCAGCTACGGGACTCTACTGGTCAACGTAGAAAATCTGTTTTGTGACATTGGGAAGGACTATGGTAAGCCTAAGAACACAGTTCAAAGACAGCATTCTTGCATCAGCAGCTGGATTTACTACAATATCTAGCAGATCTTACCCATCACAAAAATCCTTAGCTTAATTTTCTCTGTGAGAGTTTGACAATCTGTTTGGAGGATTTAAAATCAATTTCAGAATCTTTCAAGAATATTTTATGCAGCTTTAAGTTGGAAAAGATTGAAACCCTCCTGACCTTTCAACAGGTTAGCTTTGTGCACTAAAAACATCTTTCTTTGCTTTCTCTGCTGTCAAAGATAAGTTCCATGCTTTCTTTCTTTTTTTTATTTTTTTTTAAACATACCTAGATATGGTTTGATAAGAAGATAATAAGCACGTGAGTTGTGCTGGTCTGAGAGAGCACGTTTTGCTTTATTGTACAAAATATCTTTAGTAGTTTGTGAACAGGCTGAAGGATCAAGAGCTGCTGTTCTGCAGAAAAAAAATGAAGATTTACATAAAGACAGTTTTTATTATTATATTTATTTGATGTTTTCAATAAAATATTTGAAATATGAATATTTTTAACCCATCCTGAATATCTTTCTCTGAACTTTTCTACATAGAATAGGTTACCTTCTCCTCCAGCACTACCCTGGGCATTTCCCAATGGATAGATGAGGTACAGGGAAAAGCTAAATGAATAAATAATGGCTCAGTCTCTTGAACAAAATGCTATATCTGCTAAGATATCACAGCTCAGCACATAACAAGCTTATGTGTTTGTAAAGATAAAGGATTTGATTAATTTTATTTAGCTCTCTTTTCAAATGAAGCTGAATTAACTCCTTCACATATGCACATGGATAAAATCATGCACACAGACCATTACTGCTGTCAGCTGAGATATATCAAAGAAAACCTAACTGCAAATCTGAGCCCTCCCTGGTAGAACTAAAAATCGCAGTTAAACTGTATGTGGAACAAACACTGAAGTTGCTTCAGATCTCCTGCCACCAGCTGGGGAGAAAAGGAATCTGCAAACCCTAATGAGAAGGTTGGAGGGACAAGGATGTCACAATTCAGGACTCACTTCAGGCTGTTGGTGTCTATCGCGTTCAGCTCGGTTGCATTTAGAAGGCACAAGTATCTCGTGCCAATTGCATTCAGCACAGGGGTGGTCAAACGATTTCCCAAGCAAACATATCGGTTAATCATTACAGCAGCCTAGAAGAATATATAACACATCATTTTATAAGTTAATCTGAACCAGAATTTGTTTTAATCCTCAAAAGAGGAGCAAATGCAATAATTATATTTCATCAAGTCTATTTTCTTGGCTATTAAGGATGGACCAGTCATCTTTGAACCAACTAAGCTAGTTCTAAACCAGCAGCTTCCAAAATAGGAAGCAAAGGTAGGCAGGAAAGCAAACCCCAATACTCACGTCTGCATCAGAGGGCTGATTCTGTAGCAAGGCAGCCAGCGTTTCAGCTGAATTTATCTTCCATTTGCTAATGTCCTCAGGGGTGATGAAAGCAGTCAGAGGGCCCAATCTGGGGAGCAGACTTTCAGGATACCCATCAGGATACGTCTGTGGAAAGACTATTGTTACTGCTATGGAAACGCATGATTGTGCCCGTGGTGATGAATGTATGCTCTTTGCAAAATGTGGAAAAGTACAAAGGGCCTGCAAGGAACAGTAAACAAAAACCAGTGAGAATATATGAGCATGTCTACCCTTTTCAGACATGTCTATGCTAACCAAAAAGTAAAACTGTCATATTAAGAAAAACATTTTCACAGTAAAGGCAGTCAGACATTGGATCTCAGGAGCTCAGAGAGATCGTATGGTCTCCATCTTTGGAGATACTCAGCTGGCAAGGTTCCTGAGCAACTTCTACCTTCTTCAGCCTGGCATTACCTCATCCAGATGTCTCTTCAGCACAGCTAACTGCTGAACAGTGAAGGGGTAGCTCAGTATCAGAGAGAGGTGATCAGCCAGAGAGACGTTCTTCAAGCAAACACGTAGCTGCTCAGGGGTGTAGTAAATAGGCATCATATCATCCTCAAGAACTTCTTGTGTTATTTTCAGGTCAGGTGGGCATTCTGTTGAAGCAAGAACCAAATGTGCCTAGCATTACATTCTTTTGCTATGCTTTACATACATGCTTATGCTTTGGATGTTCCCTTGCTGAAGACAGACAAGGGAGGACTTACGGTTCCACCCTCCCCCTGGGCAACCCACTACTAAGTTTCATAGCTCAAGTCAGATAAGAACAAGAACTAGAGCCAACCATGGCATCAAGGGAACATTGCCACTACAGGTGAGCAGAAGCTCTCATACCAGCAGCACGCTTATGCCGAGAAGGCAGGAGTTCCTCGGTGATGGAGGCCAGCTCTTCCCTCGACAGAGATGAATCGTGGGCAAAGTTTTTCAGCCAAAGGGTTAAAACATCCTGCAATGAAAAGTTTTCATCAGGAAGACTTTTCAAATCCTGGGATTGCATTTGCAGAAGAAGCTGCTACTCAAACAGTTAAGAAGGCTTATTGGTGACATTCTAAGGGCAGCAGACCACCTGCTATAAATCTAGCAACCTTTCCCTGGTGAGCTAAAGGCAAATTTCTAAATGCTTAACCTCTATCATACCCCACACTCCAAAAATGACCATCTCTCCACAGGGCACTGCGTAAAGTTAGTAGCTTTTCCACCTCTGGTGCTCTTTGAATAGTTTTGGAAAGTGAGTGATCTAGATCAGAAGTTCCCAGATTTCTGGCTTGATCAACTCTCACCTCTTATAGACCATGTGGCACCTACGGCACCAGGCTTTTAGCTTACCAGCATGTCTTATCTGCTGAACAAATCCCCCCATCTGCATGCAACACAGTTTGGGATCCACTGACCTAGAAACTAGGCTCTTTCCAAACTGCAGGACCTAATCCCCAAACTCTCCATTTTCCTATTTGTAACCCACCTTGGGGATCTTCTGCAAGATGCTGTGACCAAACACAGGAATCAATCCACTAAGTTCATTCAAGGTAGAAGCTGACCATGCTGAAGGAGGCCTGAAGAAAGCAAACAAGGAAAAATAAACAAAAAATAATACCTTAAAAGCTGACACGATTATGTCTTTGTAACATAATGTCTTTGTAAAATAAAAGGATTTCATCCTAAAATCTTCTTTATCACTTCCTGCTAAATAAAACTTCATTCCAGCAGTGCAGGAGCAACTGCCAGTTCCATAAAAGGGGCAGCAGGATGAAAAACAAACAAACAAAAAAAGCATCAGAAAGCAGCTACATTATTTTCTTAACCATGAATACTAAATATATGCATTGCCCACTACTGATCATTCAATGACAATATTTCAGTGTTTTTGACACAGGGATGGAAAATATTTCTTCTCTCCTGGATAATGCCTCTGTTAGATGCAGCCAAGAAAGCCTAAGAGATTCAACCATTTATTAAATAACTATCACTTTGGTGGAAGCAAAAAGGCTTCTCAGAGCCAGTGCTTGAAAAACAGCTACTGCAATTCATCAAGACAGTCTCAGAGAAATTTCATTATTGAAAAATAGTCCACAGAAAAGGCTTTTACAACTACAACTGACCGGACACAGATAACTATATTTTTCAGTAGAATTGCAGTCAAGCTAAAGAAGTTCAAATAAAACAGTGTAAAAGGCACACTGTTCAATTCAAAACCAAGAAAATATTCAAGATTTTCATCAAGTTGGTTGGTTGGAGTTCATTTGGATTCTAATAGGACACGGTCTTTCTTTTATCTGAGGTGATTTGCTCATGTCTAGAAGAAAAAAAAAAAAATCATACCCATATTTAGTGTTTCCACTGCTGATAACAGTCCTAATCGCCTCCTCTTGTTCAGGCAGGAAAGATTCACACCGATTTAATTGCTTCAGCAAAACTCCACCAGAACTTCTAATGTATTCTTCACTCAGGTCACAGACCAGACGACCCAGAACCTCTGCATTCTCCTCATTTACTTGAGTGTCAGGAATTTTCTAAAGTAACACAAAATAGAGGTGTTAAATAGACCTGGCCGCCACCGTAGGAAGGAGCACTCCATTTCTGCTGACGTTTGACAGCCCCAGGTTCCCACCAGCCTAGTGCAGAAATGTCCCCTTGACCACATACCAGACATGCTAAGGCTTCCAACAGCAGCTGTTTCCGCTGGGAGGACTCTCTTTGCAGAACATCAAGATTTGCTTTCCCAATATTAGAGAAGTACTGCCAACAACTTCCTGTCGCTGCATAGTCTGAAGGACTAGAAAGACAAATACTCCATAAATTCTAGTGAAAGGTATCAGACAGTTGATCAGGTTCAATGCTGTTCAACACTATGTCCAACATAAGCCTTCCCCCAGCACAAACTCTAAACTCTACACAGTTCTTTCCAAAGATCATAGTCCACGTATTTTTGTTTTGATTTGTTTTTAATTCGTGTTCAGCTTAAGGAATCCATTGTGTGATTCAGTTTAAAATTGTTCAAGCTCTTCATACCCTTTTATGAATGTGACGGTTTGTTGAGTATAAAAAGACCTCAAAACTGAATGACCTTTTGAAAGCATTTTGCAATTTCATTTCTTTTTCTGTGAGGACACGTAAGCAAGCTGGGAACATACGTCATACATAAAATGTCATTACTAGCTAACTTCCAAAATAACATCTCATTTCCCAATAAGGGCAAAGGCAGCAACAGGAAAACCATTGCAGTTACCTTAAAAACAGCAACAGGTCTTTAGGATAGCTGTCTAAATCCTTGGGAATGCCTTTCAGAGTCACCATCGTCGCCAAGCACCTCAGCTGAAAGCACAACAGAGTTTATATCAAAGGGAAAAAAAGCCAGCACAAAAATGTAAAAAAATAAAGAAAGTGCTCTGTTCCAAAGTAAGATAAAAAAGAAGACAGAAATCAGAGAGGTTTTGATTCCCGAGAAACCTAGCCAGTTGAGCTGTGACTTCACCAATTTCAGAGAAATTCAGAGCTATGGGACGGAGACAAAGGGAACCGACCTCGTCTTCCCCTAGCTTGACGTTCTTCTGCTTCATGGCTTTGGCTAGCTGCCGAGAACTTTCCACGTTCATCCCATTGGCAGCTGTACACGTGAAGCCTTGGAGGACAGACTGGGAAAGCCTGAACATCCAAAGAAAGCAAATCACAGGGACAACGACGTCAGGAGGAAAGGCAATGCTGACCACAGTCATAGGAACATAATGCAAATATTACAAGCACCAACCTCCCCTCCTCTCAAAGCCTGAAGTTCTTCAAAATCCATCCCCTCAAAATCGTTAGTCCTACTGTGAAATCAACACAGCACAGATGTCGATTCCATTGTTTTCCCCAGATACATTTTATTTTTTGCTTTATTTCCCATCCTAGGTACAAGAGCTAGCCAAAGAAACGTACATCAGCCTTATCAGGCTTGTAATCCCACGGGTAGCACTGTGCAAGACTGACACGTTCTTCCACAGAGCTGGAAGCGAGTGAAATCTGAGCCAGCAGCACTGTTTTAGGAAGAGAGTTTTCCTTTTGGACAGATTTTGCAGCTGCAACCCTTGGGGCTACACGCCTAGGTTTGGGTTTGCATATTATTTGCTGCCCCTTGCTATGGCCTGAATGTGGTGGGTTTGCCACTTGTGACAAAGGGTCAGCAAGCATGGGAAATGGAAGGAGAGAAGAAAAACACTACCTGCTGAAATCAGGTTCTGTCTTTATCACATCATTGAAAAACATGGCAGCCTGTGGAGCAAAGGCAAAGAGAGTCAATGGCTGACCAAGCTCTTCTGCAACAGCCAGGTGTATTTTCAGATGGGTTTGTAGAGTGGACTGGTACCCCTACGGTGCCAAAGGTGACACTGTGGCCTTTGGCTGACACAGAGGAGGCAAGCTGCTAGCGTATTACCTGTTCTGGGGTCCATGTTTTCTGATTGAGATCCTGAATATTAGGCTTCTCATTCTCAAAAACAAGCAATGATTTTGGAATGTAACTGGCCAGAGCATCAGGGATGTACTTAACCAGGTCAGCAGGGTGCTCTACACTAGAGGAAATCTAAAACAAACAAAAAACCCACACACATAATTCACACCTTGTAGCTTAAATAAGCAACCCAACACTATCATACTAGAGAAACAAAACAGCACGGTGCCAGAAGACCACTGTGCCCTAAAAGGGCAGTCACCTTCCCTGCTGACGTGTTCTCAGTCCAAACCCTGGCATATTCTCAAGTTGGCAGGGAGGAGTCTGACCACCCTGGGGAGCAGCTACGTCTTTTCTGACACTATCCCAAAGAGGCTCGGCTTGGCGTGGTGGCCGTCAGCCAAGGACATCTGTACAGGTACAGTGACAGGGACTCGACACGTCTGTGTCTGCTGCACCCTCTGGTTAGCAATGACAAACAGTCCCAAGGGAATGTGGCCTGGGCGTGCGGATGCCAATGTCACCTGGCCTCAGGAAACCACCAACGTACTCAGCTCTGAGTCACTGGGGCTTTTTTTACTTGCCATGTCCCAAGGAGAGAAACAGTTTCACCTTTTCCGCAAATGCTGCTTTCAGAGCAGAGGGTAGGGTCTCCATTTGCTGGGCAAACTCAGGCAAATTAACGGCTTCCAGGATCACCTTTGCAGGCAGACTTTGAAGCGTGCTGCTGCTGAGGCCAGCCACCAAGCTCCCTAGCCTTGCCAGGCTCTGGCCATCTGTGATCTGAAAGGCAACGCATGCAGACAAAGGGACATTACAGGCCATACATCACCTTTTTCTTTTTTTTGTAACTACAGCTATACCAGATGTGTGGGGCACATATGGACCTTCTCATTTGTACCTCATAGCCAGAGCTGAGCAATTTGTTGATGATCGCGCTGGACTGCTCAGTGTTCCAACCATGAACCTTGCTCAGGGCAGGAAGAGATGCTTTGAGGTCTTCACCACTGATGCTATCCTCAATCTGGGATACCGACAGCCCAACGGCAGCCTGGCCCAACGCACGCAGGACAGCAGGAGGGAAACGCTCCAAGTTTCCCACCAAAGAGGATGCAACCTGGAAAGGTCCCACACAGACAGAAGAAGTCAGAGAAGCATGAGGGGAGCCTACTGCATCCCATGGCCTTTGGATGTCTTAAATCACTGGACTTTTTGCTTCATAGGTTTTTGTAGTGAAGTCTGTGATGGACTCCCTCTATTCACTAAGGTTTTGCTGATTGCAAAACAGCAGCCAGAGGCCACAATATAAAAGCTAAATGGCCTATGGGATCATACAGAGGAGACGACACAGGAATCAACACCAAACCCTCTGACTAGGCCAGTTACTCCCAACCACTCTTCTGGGCAACCCCCAGATCCAACCCAGCACCCAGATTTGTGAATCCTCCTCCCTGTGAAAGCCTCATTTCTAAAAGGGAACCTGCACTGTGCACAAGTGGGCAATGGCCTCACCATTGACCAGGAGCAGCGACTGGCTGGGCTGTGCCGATGCTCTGTGCTCCTCATTGCAAGACTGCAGCAAGCTCAAGTGCTTCCCTGTAACAGCTTCTGAGGAGATCATTTAACTTCTCAGTGCCTTGACTTTCTCATTGATTAAAGCTGAAAAGAGTACTTTGAAGATGAGCCCTGAGCTTAACAGGAGCCTAATCATTTTTAAGAGGTTGAGCACCGTTTACCCGCTGCACGATTAGAGCTCGCTCTTCGCCAAGAAGAAAAGACTTCCTCACTAATTTTCTGAGTTCACAGGGCTGGCAAATATATTACCTGCAGCTCCTCCGTTGTCAGGGATGAAGAGCGATGTCTCTGCTTGTCTTCTGCATGTGTCACATTCATGCTGGCAAATATATTACCTGCAGCTCCTCTGTTGTCAGGGATGAAGAGCGATATCTCTGCTTGTCTTCTCCTGCATGTGTCACATTCATAGGGCAGTTCTTACTGATCCTCTGGGCCAAGTTCAAAGCCTCATCTCTGCTCAGGTTGCTCACTGCAGATGGGCTCAGGTAGCAAACAAACCTGTCTGGGAGACTACAGATGGGAAACAAAGAAGAGAGGTTGCAAGTGTGATCAGCAGCATCTCCACCAGGGATCTCGCCTCTTTTCCAGAGGATGCTCCCTGCCAGTGCATGCCTCCCCCCACTCCCTGGGGCTCTGATGATGCTCCTGTCTACAGAGAGCACTGTTATGTCCTGCAAAACTGCCCACTGTGAGACACACTGCTGATCCTTAGCTGCCAGATGCTCCCTGCCAGTGCATGCCTCCCCACACTCCCTTGGGCTCTGATGATGCTCCTGTTTACAGAGAGTACTGTTATGTCCTGCAAAACACACTGCTGTTCCTTAGCTGCCGGTTTGCAGTGTGTGAAATCGCTTCCCATGAGCTGGAACTTGGGGTCTGGCCTGCACCAACGTAATTGCAACGTGACTAGAAACGCAAACAGAAACACACTTCTTACATCTCAAGTGAGCAGGCACGGGAGGCACCACTGAGCACGACCAGCTACGCCAAGGCACTGTGCTAAGCCATGAGTCAGATGGGAAGCACGGTGAGATCGCATACCTTGATAAGGTGAAGTTGGGCCCGGAGCTCAGCAGCAAGGTGTAATACACGGCCGTTGCCTGGGGCAAAGTGAGCTTGCTGACCATTTCTATATTGTCTGGATCCCTGGCAAACTGCTGAAGCTGATAGCGTTACCATGAAGGGGAAAAGAAAAGATATCTTAGTTCTGGCAGTCACCTGGGACATTTTGAAGAGAATCTCACTTCAATAAATGTTATTTTTTACATCCTCAGGGTTGTAAGGTTTTATTTTCTCTTAATGTCATTAAGTAATGCAGAGGGATTTTGCTTTGTGTGCACCCTCCATCACCACTGTGAAACTGTACTTACTGTTGATTCATCAGCAAAGAGCTGCAAGTCTTCAACAGTAGCATGTTCCATAAAGGACCCCAGGTAATTTTTAAACCAAGCTGTGGAATTCAGACCTGGAATGGCTGCACTGTAGCACTTCTGCTTTAACTCTGCAAAACAGGCAGACACCATAAAGCTACAGACTTACAGTGCAACTGAAAATCAGTGGAAATAAGAGATTTCTGAATACAGAGCAGTCTTTAGTCTATTTGAGAAACAAGACAGCAGAGAGCTCCCAAAGTGCCTGTGCAAATTGCTGCCTTGGGACAGGGAAGTGCCTTACCCAGGCCCCCATCTGAACTAACTCCTGAGTTGAATTCTTCAGGTCTCACAAGCAAATTCTGCCCTGACCTTTTATAATGAAAGCAATCGATGCCATTTGCAGAGGACGTAAGACAGCACAGAACTCCCCCTACTGATTTAGACTGGCTTAAGAAAGTCTTCAGGCTGGGGAACGAATCCTGACACTGCTTCAGTGTCACATTCCTATTCTCTTTGCACTGAAGAGGCAGTATAAATTCACTATAAATCCATGAAGCTCTGTAGCAGATCATCACTATTGTTGTAATATACATTAGTGGCTTAAAGCTCGTAGTAGGTTCTTAGGGAAAACTGAATCACTTACCATCCTGGACAAGATAGTACTTGATCAAGTTGTAAAGATTCCTCTGCTCTTCTACTGGAAGGTTAGGATAGATGCTATTCAGGGCAGCAACTCTACAGAAAGATTTTTAAAAAACAATCTAAAACACAGACAAAACCAAACTTACCAGGGCGGATTCTCACAGAAACAGTTGTTTGGAATTATGACACTCAAAAATGCCCCTTTTGAAAACGACTGTGACTGCCCTTCACAATAGCCGTCCCCACCCAGGCACCACGTTACCAATCCTGCGATGCCGCTTCGCAAATGCGGTCGCTGTCCACTCCCAGAGGCACGGGACAGAAGCACTGCTTGTGTTGAGCACTTACATGTCCTGAAAACTCTCACACGACACATTTTTGGCACGGAGGCAAGCAGAGACCGTAGGATGGACCAGGAATGGCTGAAGCCCCTCATGGACCCACTGAGACAAGACAAGTGGGCTGTCAATGCCGGGTACTTGTAGCATCTTCTCCCACAGGCCATTAACAAAGACGATGCTCCACTCTTCCAAGAGGGGCACATGAGAAAACTGAAGGCAAGACACAAGGAAAAAGACATGAAGTGCAGTGAATGCAGACCTCTAAACATGCACAGATCCATGAACATTATGAATCAGCCCTGGCTTCCACCCGCCCTGTCCAGATAGTGGCTTTTTTACCACGCTGTGTTTGTGCAACTCGAGTATAAGCAGGCTCTAATTCACATTGGAGCCTCCAGTCTTTGTTGTCATTGCAATTAGCAACACACAGCCCATGTGAACTTGTTGTTATT